GAGACGGGGCAATAAGCGAGGGGGCAGAACCGCACAGGCCAGAACCGCACAGGCCAGGAGAAAAAAAAAAAAAAATTAAAAAGGGATATGCTTTATCCGGGAATCGAACCCGGGCCAACTGCTTGGAAGGCAGTTATCATACCATTAGACAAATAAAGCTCAGATGGTTGAATATTACAAGTTTTTTTTGATATACAAATTTTTAAACAAAATAATAAATTGTTTAAATAATAAAATTATAAAAAATTAAAACCATATATCAAATTAAAAATAATTCAAAAATTATTTAAAAAATCACTTTAAAAAATTATAAATTGTTTTAAATGAAAACAAACAAACAAATAATAAATAATAAAATACCTTATAATGAGACTTTTTGGGTTAAAACTATCTTTATTGATAATATTGATAATGATCTTTCTTTATGAATTTTTATGCCTTTTTTTTGGCGAATTATTTTTTTTCAAAAATAAAAATTTCGGTTAAAAGAAATTTTTATGAAACACGTTGCAAGAAGCCATCCTATTACTTTTTATGGGAAAAGCTTTATAGGCTAAAAAACCCAATTATATATATATATTTATATATTAATTATTATATAATTAATACGTGAGTGTCTAACATCAAAGGATTAATGAAACAAAAAAATAGAATGGAAAAATAATATATTTTATATTGCAATGATAGAAAAATTATTTCAAACAATAAGGTTTTTGTGATCATAAAAAATAAAAAAATAAAAATAAAAATAAAAATATTTTTTTATTTTTTTTATTTTTAATTTTTTTTTTTAATTTTTTTTTTTTATCACACAAATTTATATATATTAAGTTAAATATGGGACAAATAAGAGATTATGATCATTTATTCAAGGTTTTAATTATTGGGGATTCTGAGGTTGGTAAAACTAGTTTTTCAGATTATTATTGCACAGGTATTTTTTCTAAAGAATATAATCCAACCCAAGACCTAACATATGAATTTAAAGAATCAGTTGTTATTAATGGTAAAATTATTAGCATTAAATTATTTGATTTACCAAACCTCCTAACATCTAGGGAGTTTAGTCGAACTGGGAGCTCATGGACTCCTCATCGTATAATGGTAATGTATGATGTCAACAATCTAGAGTCATTCCAAAATGTTAAATTTTATTTAAGTGAAATTCGGAGACATGCATGCGAAGATGTTTATATAATGATAGTTGGTTCAAAAATAGACATATCAGAAACCAACAATCCAAAATTTTTCGGTGACAATATAAGAAAAGTGACTTTTGAAGACGGTGCAAATTTAGCAATAACTTATAATATCGATTTTAATGAATGCTCAACAAAATACAATATTAATATTGATCAAATTATGATCAAGTTTATAGATAAAATAAATGAAATTTTTTTCGAAAATGAAGAAAAAGAAATGAAGCTATCTGATTTAGAATTAAAAAAGAAAGTCTGTAATATAAATTAAATTAATAAGTAAAAATATGTATAAATAAAAAAATAATAAAGAGATGATTATTTTCTTCCAAAATATCTTTTTTTTTTTAATTTTTTTCTTTTTTTTTTTTATTTTTAAAAAATCATTTTTTTTATCACCATGTTTAATAATATTAACAATATTACTAATAATAATAATATTTTTAAATACAAGTTAATGGTTATAGGAGATAATCAAGTTGGGAAAAGTTGTTTTGTTAAAAGATTTTGTAGAAATATAATAGATTTGGATGAAAATATAACAGGAAATAGTTTTTATAAAAAATCTATAGTCTTTGATGATAAAGTTTTTATATTAGAAATTTTGGACACACAGAACCTAGGGTTTAGAGAAAGAGAAAGGAAACCATACAGAGATAACAATGGAGTAATTGTATTATATGATGTAAATAATAGGGAGTCTTTCAGGAATATCACGTATTGGTTAAACGAAGTTGCAAGACATGCATTCGAAGACGTAAAGATTATAATAGTTGGTACTAAAATAGATATACAAGAAACTTCTATCATTAATAATAATAATATTTATTACAATAGAAATAATAATAAGATAAAAAGAGAAGTTTCAATAGAAGAGGTTTCAGATTTTTCCAATTTATTAAATATTCCCTTCATAGAGTGTTCATCAAAATACAATATTAATATAGAACAATGTTTCATTCGAATAGTTTCAGAAATTTATGAACTAGACAAAATAAAAAACAATTATAATAATTATAATATTAATAATAATAATAATAATAATAATAATAATAATAATAATAATAATAATAATTATAATAATAGTACAAATATTGATAACAGAAATAGGTGCACTTTAAATTAAATAAATAAAAAAAAAACAAAAGAAATTTTCTAAATATCTAAAATTTTCAAATTATCTTTCAATAAACTTTTTTTAGATTACTCTTTTTTTTTCTATAAGCCAACGTCATTTTTTTTTATTATTATAATAAAACAAGATATTTTATTTTCAAATAATTATTTTATGATAAAAGTTTTAATCAAATTTTTTTTATAAAAATAAAATTTTTATTTTTTTAAATATTTAGTTTACTTTATTTTTTTTCAATAATCATTATATAAAACAATAAAATAAAAATGAAATTCTTAATTATAACTATAATTTTATTTTTTAATTATATCTATGCCATTCAGTTAGAAACACCTACTTCAATCTACACCAATTTTTCAATTGATGGAATGAGATGTAATGCTGAAGGGGAAACCATTTTACTTGATCAATGTAAAAACCTTTGTTCACACCCTCAAAATATTCAATATGATACCACAAAAGATAAATATTCAATCTCAATATATTTCGATGAATCATGTACACAACTATCCGATCGTCAATATTTTACTTGCCCTCAAGCCCAAATAGGAGCTGATCAAATTTATTGTAACAATAGTATCAAGTATGAAACATTCTCCTCTTTTACCTTAAGCAAAAGGGGATGCTCATATACTAGTGCAAGCATTGGTAATTGTACACAGTTTTGTGGTGAGACTTATAAGGTAGTTCAACAAACAAATACATCATTTAACTATTCAATTATTTCTTTTTCCGATGAAGAATGTAAAAATGAAAAAGAAATTCCTTTAAATTTCACATGTATTTCAGACAATAAACCAGTATCTGTAATTGATACAGATGTTTCCATTATTTGCCATGGATCATCACCTTCAAATAACTCTGAAAGTTCAAATAGCCAATCATCATCATCAAACTCTACAAGTAACTCGTTGAGCTCATCAAGCTCTTCACAAGATGGATCAGATAGTGAAAACTCATCCTCAATTGTTAAATATTCAATTCTTTTAATCATTTTTACAATTTTCAATATTTTTATTTTATAAATAAATATATAAATAAATAATTAATAAATAATAAATATTTAAACAAAAGTAAAAAAATAATTAAATAAACAAATGAATAAACTTATCCATGTTTATTAAACATATAATTAAAGAGAAAAAGGTTTTTTAATGATTATTTATTTAAAGTTTTTTGTTGCTATTTATTTGTTAAAATATTGATGGACAACCGAAGTAATCTTTACTCTAAAATTGATAACAAGGGTGTTACCAAATGCTTCTTTCTTTGCTGCTGGAATGAAATCTTCCCACCCCTTTCCATTCTTTGAATTTATAACACTGCTGACTGAATCTTTTTTAATACCATCTTTCCCAGCAACAATTTCGAATGTAAAGTTGCATGAAATTGGAAGGTCATAATAATTGTATCTAAAATTAAATTATCATAAACTATTAGTATCAAATAAATATATAAAATTAAATACTAATAAAACCTACAAATATAAAGAGCAATTTTTATTATCATTAGTTTGACCATCTGAAAAAAAAAAAATTAGTAATCATGTTAAATAATAATAATTATTTATAATTTTAATAAATACTTGGATATAATTGAAGACAAAGTGGACGGTTACCAATTGAAAAGTTTAATTTTAAAACATAACCTTTTGGCTGGGAGCAGAATTTACTATTCCAATTTTCTACTCTCCATTGACCTTGGAACTTTGTATGGCATTGATTTAGTTTCTTTCTTTCGAGCTCTAATTCTTCTCTAAGTGAAACAAAAGAATTAACTATTGTTTGGTGATGATTAGATGATAACAAGTGCTTATCCATTTCTGATCTTTGAACTTTTCCTTTACAGCCTTTGTTTAATTTGCCATAAATGCAATCTACCATTTCATTGGCACATTCATTTGCATAATGTAAAGGTAAAGATTCTCTTTTGACTTTGGAACCACATCTGCATGCTACCGTATATTGAAGACACTCGGATTGGTAATGTTTCTTTAAATTTACTCTTAAAACACTTGCCTTACATAATTCGCATTCAACCCTTTCGGAGTTGCACTCTTTAATGTGCTCATCAAGTAAATTCTTTCTAACTAATTCGCATTCTCCATTTTGAGGACATTTGACAAATGAAAATTCACACTCCTTTGTGTGGGATTCCATTTGGTCAATAGAACATTCAAACCCACATCCATACTCCTCGTCTGCAATGTAATCTTTTGTATTATAAAATTTATTGGGGCAAAAGATCTTTTTTTTAAAAAGAATTAATATTGAAAATTTTTATTGTTTTACTATTAATATATGATTTATAATTACCTGTAATTTGTTAATTTGTCTTTCTAAATATCTATTTACTGAAATACTACCCAACTCAACTCTACACTCTGGACAACCTGCATTTTTACTTTTGATTTCCTCTGTGCATGATACACAATAAATATGACCATTTGTACTAAATATAAGTTAATTAAAAAATATTAATTTATGTTTGTAAGTTTATATATATATTTATGTGCATACCATTGATAGTTCTTATACATAATATTATTGCAAATATTACAAAAGAAATCCTCATCTATTTTATCTTCTTCTATAACTAAAAGTTTTTCAAAAAGTAATGAATCCATTTTTATTTTTCTATTATAATTTATCTATTAAACTATTATAATTATTATTATTATTTGTTTATTATTTTTTTTTTAATAAACCTTTGACAAAAAAAAAAATTTATACAAAAAAATTTATATAAAACTATAAATAAAAATTTTATTTTTTCGGGTGTATCCCAAAAAAATGATGGATCCAAAATATTCAAATATTTAGATTATTTTTTCGAAACATTTTCAAATTTTCACTCTCTTTACCAAATATCTAATCATTATTTTTTTTTTTTCAAAACATTTAAAAAAAAACATCATCATCATCTTATTTTTTTTTTTTTTTTTTTAATTATATTATTTGTCTTGTGAGGAAAAATACCACAAAGATAAAAAAATAAAAAATAATTTAAAAATAATGATAAAAAATAAAAAGACTAGTTTTTTTAATTTGTTTTAAAAAATAGTATTTAAACTATTGGTTTAATATTTATTTATTATTTATTTAAACTTTTTTTTTTTTTTACATTATTTATACCCATAATAAAATATAATATACATATTATATAACTGTTAAAAATTTTTTATTTTTTTTTTTTAAAATTTTTGAAAAATTATTTTTTATTTTTTAAATTTTTTTTTTAAATTTTTCAAAAATTTTTTTAATTTTTTTTTTAAATTTAAAAAAAAATTTATTATTTTCAATACAAACACAAAATTTTTTTATATATTAAATTAAAAAAATAAAATTTTTAAAAAAAATAATCCCTATCTTCTTTGGTTTCATCAATCGTGGTTTTGTTTTTTTAAAATTTATTTTTAAATTTTTCATTGTATATTATATTATTTATAAATAACAAAAATTATATAAATATATACATATAAATAAATAATACAAGTTTTGTTTGTTTTGTTTTTTTTATTTTATATTTATTTTTTTTTATAACCAAAATACACACGCACAAAACAAATTAAGTTTATAAAAATATATATTAGTATTAGTTAATATTGGTTTCCTATATAAATAAATAAACAAATAATAAAGTTTTTTTTTTTTTTTTTGGTGAAATCAAATATATAAATATAAATAGAAAAAAAATGACAAAAAAAGGTAAGTTTTTTAATTTTTAATTTTTTAATTTTTAAAATAAGAGATTTCATTATTAACCTTTTTTATTTTTTTATTATTATAAAGATGAATTAATAAATATGCAACCAGTTAGAAGTAAAAGGTTATCTGTGTTACCAAAAGATGGATATCCATTATCACCACCACAATCTACAGGTAAAAAAGATAAAGATTCATTAAAATCACCATCTAAAAGAAAAAAGGATGTTAGCGATGATGACATGCATGAAACTATAGAAGAGAATTTAGAGGGTGGTAAAAAGCAAAAGGTTTTAAACGGTGATATAAGTAATGGTGTTGCTTTAAATGGCAGTGATAGTAATAATAGTGAGGATAGATCTACAGCACAGAATAAAATACCATTAACAGTAAAAATTAGAACACCAATTAAAACTCCAACTACTGCAACTACAACATCTCCAGCAACTTTAACAAATACCACTACAACTAGCACAAATTCATCATCTTCAGATGACTTGGAGTCAATTGAACAATCAAATAATGAAACACCAGCAAAGAAGAAAGAAACTAGAGGTAGAAAGAAAAAGAGTGAAACTATTCTCAAAGAACAAACTTTAGCACATAATGGCACCGATTCAACTCCATCAAAAGGTGATTCTACTTCCACTACAGGAGATGCTATAACACCATCTAAAACACCAGGTAAAAGAGGCAGAAAAAAGAAAGAGGAAACATTAAAAGAAGATGATGAGGAATCAGAAAGAGAAGAGAAAACACCAAATAAAAAATTTACAGATACAGAGTCAGAAAGAGAAGACAAAATAAAAATTAATTTAAAAAGACCGTTAGGAAGACCAAAGAGATCATCAATTCAAAAAGAAATATTATCATCATCCGAAGAGGAAGAGGAAGAAGATGATGATGAAGATGACGAAGAGGAAATAAATTCATCAGTTGAAGAACCAAAAAGTAAAGCCAACAGTCATACCAACTCAATGGTAACCAGTGATGAAGACGATGACGAAGAGATGGAGGATGAACATGATACAGTCGATGAAGAACAAAGATTAAAATTAAAAAGAGAACGTGAAGAACGTGAAGAACAAGAGTTGGCAAATACACCAGCGGATAAGGTTAACCATTGCAAAAAAGTTTTCACCAATGTCTTAAATTTATTAATGAAAAAGGATCCACATCAATTCTTTTATTCACCAGTTACTGAAGAGATCGCACCCAATTATTTCACCTATATCAAAGAGCCAATGGATTTCTCAACAATGATTAAAAAGAATAAAGATGGTAAATATATTTCAATCGATCGTTTCATTTACGATTTTACATTGATTTGTGAAAACTGTATGAAGTATAACGACAGAACATCGGTATATTACAAAGAGGCTAGAAAATTATTAAGTGGTGGTAAATCGTTAATTCAATCATATCGTTCAAAGGTTGAAGGTAACGATAAATCATTATCAATTAACCCAATTCAAGCCACACCATCCGCAGCAACTCTAAGAGAGCGTGAAAGAGAAAAGCGTCAAGTTGTATTACAACAACAACAACAAAAAGAGCGTGAAAAGCAAATGGAGAAAGAACGTGAAAGAGAAAAAGAAAAAGAAAGAGAAAGGGAACGTGAAAGAAAAGAACGTGAAGCTCAGTTAAAGGGTAGAATTTCAACAAGAAGAAGAAGACATCAAGAAGAAGAAGAGGAAGAGGAGGAAGAAGATGATGAAGAGGAAGAAGGATACGAAGCTGAAGAGGAAGAAGAAGAGGGCGAAGAAGGTGAGGAAGAGGCAGTAGTAAAAAGTCATAATAGAAGAGCGAGAGGAAGTTATAACACTAAAAAGAAACAACAACAAGCTCAATTGCAAGCTCAACTCCAACAACAACACCATGCCCAATTCCAAGCACAATATCAAGCTCAACAACAATTACAACTCCAACACCAAGCGCAACAACAACAACAACAGCAACAATTTATTCAACAACAATTACAAATGCAACAACGTTTCTATGGTATGCCAGCAGTTATTCCAGGTACTGGTGCATCGATTCCACAAAATGTTTATTTAAATCCAAATCAATACACCCAACGTCAAGCACCTTATTCAATTCCACAAAGAAGATATGTTAAACTTGATGAAAAACCAAAAACCCAATCACCACCAGAAACCTTAAAGAACTCATTCTCTTTAATTAAATCAATTAGTGAGGATGCAAATGTTTTAATTTCACCAGCTACAAATATGAAACCATCATCATACAATATGTATGTCCCCATTAATAATAATAAAACTGTAATTGGATCCTATCAAGTTTTAAGCAATTGTATCGAACCAAATTATTTAAAAGTTAAACCAATTGAACAACCAAAACCACAACAAAAAGAAGAGTTCCCACAAGCTCAACAAATTAAAGCATTGGTTGAAGATACATTGGAAAATAAAGATAAGGAAATACTAGATCAGCCAATGGAAGTTCAAAATGAAATTATTAATTCAACTGAAAAACAAGAGTCAATGGAAGTTGATAAAGAAGAACAACAAGTTGAAAAACCAATAGAGCACCAAGAAGAAAAAGAAAACAAAGATGAAGGTGAAAAAGAAAAACAAGAACCAATAATTAATGATCAAGTTGAAGAGCAACAACAATTAGAACAAAAAGAACCAGAAAAACCATTTGAATTAAATCAAGATATCATTCAAGAATATGGCATTGATAAACCAGTACTTTTTAATGAAATTCCAAATTATTTAACAATTAAATTTTCAAATGAAAATTCAAAAAATATTGTAAAAGAACCATCTCAAAAAGAAATCATTAAAAATAATATACCTATCAATTTAATTCCAAATGATTCATTAAAATTATTAAACCAACAAATGAAATCACTCGTTAAAAATGGTTCATTCAATTTTGATAAAAATTTAACAAATATAATAAAACAAAAACAACAGCAACAACAGAAACAATTACAAAGTTCATTGGATACTTTAAGTCCAATTCAAGATGTAAATATTCAACCACAACAAACTGAGCAAACAATGGATATCGATCAACCATCATCAGCTTTAACTTCTACAACTTCCCCAACTACAACCACCGAAGAACAAAAAAATATTAGTAATATTCTCAGAGAAAACTACGAGGAATTATTTATTTTACAGGTTTCACAATATTATAGAAATGGTTTCCCAAGACCCTCCGAAGCAGAGTTTACAAAGATTTCAAAGATAATTCAAAATATTCAAAATGTTGGTGTTCAATTACCACCATCCGCTTTAGTTGGTTCAAAAGAGGCTATCAGGAATGCAATAATTAAATCTGGTTTATATATTGGTTCTGGTAGAAAACCAAGACAAACAACAACTACATCCACAACACAAAATTAATATTATATATAAAATACATAAAAAAAAATAAATAAAAAAAAATAAAAAAATAAAAGACTATAATGATAATAGTCATAATAATAATAATCATATGATTAATTGTTTAATAATATTTGTTTTGTTTTATTTTTTGCAATAAATAATATCTTAAAAAAAAAATTTTGTAAAATAATTTAAGAAAAAAAAAAAAAAACAGAGTCATAAGAATATTCTGTCTGTTTAAATGTTTTAGAATCGAAATTATATTTTATTAAGATCATTTTCATTTAATAAATAAAATCTTTCTTTTTTGGGGTTTTTTTTATATTATCCTCTAAATCTAGATATATTTTAAAAAGTTTAAAAATTTTTATTCATTTGCATTTTCCTTTGTTTAAATCCCACATAACTACATATTATAGTACATACATTTTATTGTTAATTATAACAGTGTAGTTTTTTATAAAAAATTATAGGGATGATTTTTTTATACGAAAGGTAGTCTCAATCATAACACAAATGAAAGATATTATAAACTCTCTCACAATCTATTAATTGATTATAAAAAAAAAAAAAACTTTGAATTTAAAAAAAAAAACTTTAATTTTAGTTTAAGTTATATTTTATTTTATACTATATCTATATCAAGTACCCCCCTACTTTTTTTTTTAATAATTACACCAGTCAAAAAAAAACACAAAAAAATATAAAAATCAATTTTAATATTGGTGATTTAATTTAAAAAACTTAATTAATATAGTTGGACAATTATAAAATAAAAAAAAAACAAAAAATATAGGAATACTGCATATTAAATTATAACCAAATTTGTGTTTTTTTTTTTTAAATCTTTATATATATAAAATTATTTTTTTTTAAAAAAAATTTTGATTTTTACAATTTTTATATCACCACACACATACCCCACTTACTTACACACAAAAAAAACGACCCCCATTTAAACAAATAAAACTTTGATTTAATTTACACCCAAACTCCACACTTTATTCATTTTTAATGATTTTTTTTAAAGAAAAATTACATTTATTCAATAATTTTCATTATTATATAGTTCTGAGGTTGACTAGGGTTAAAATAAAATTGATGTGATTAAAAAATAAAAATAGTCGAGATATGATCAATTTTTTTATAAAAAAAATTTTTATAATGAAAAAAAAAAAAAATTTAAACAAAAAAAAATTAAAATTAAAAAAAAAAATAAAAAAATAATAGTACATTGTATACATTTATATTTTCCGTTCTTTAATTATATAAAATATTTAAAATCTTTAGTTTGTGTTTTATAAAATTAACATTTTTTTAATTTATGTTAATTTTTTTTTTTTTTTTTTTTTATTTTTTTTTTTTTTTTTTTACTATAAATATTAAAGTCAAACTTTAATAATTTTATTTAATTTAAATTGTTGTATAATCATTAAATTGTAGTTATATTTATTTGAACAAAATAAAGTAATTATCTTTGCTTATAAAATAAAAAAATAAATATTTATTGTTGTTGTTATTTTTTTTTCTAAACAAGATTTTAAATATTTAATCTATAGATTTATAATTTCTTTTATAAAATCAAAAAAAAAAAAAGAATAAAAAACTAATTCGTTTATATTTTATTTTTATTTTTTTAATATTTTTTATTTTTATTTTTAATTGTTTAAAAATATTTTATAGAGTTGCAAAATATTCTATTTATTAATCAATCCTTTTATATACTATTCAATTAAAAAATAATTATTTTTATATATATAGAAATAAGAATTGACATTGTTAAAATTCATAATTATTTATCAAATATTGTAAATCAATCACCGTAAGTTGATCATATTTTTTTTTGTCTTTGTATGTTTTTTTCCTAATAGATATAAATTAATAGAATGAAATCATTCCAAAATAATTATCGAAGTTAATACTTCAAATAATAAAATACAAAACACACACACATCATCCTTTTTAAAATTGGAATTTGGTTTGTTTTTTTATTTCTTTTGTAGGTTTAATTAACCTTATGAGATTGGATTGTTTTTTGTCATCATAAAAACAACAACTACTATACAAAATCAATAGTTAAAGGAAATAGATTATGGTCTCATTTAGTTTTTTAATGTGTGGCTTTTGGGGTATATTTTAGAGTAGGGGGAAAAGAGTGAGGGGTTTTTTTTTTTATTTTTTTTATTTTTTTTTTCTTTTTTTTTAATTTTTTTTTTTTTAAAAATTTTCAAAAGTTTTCAATTTACAAAAAAAACATCATATTTTTTTATTTTTTGTGCATTATGGCCCTAAATCCAACCCCAAAGATTTTAAAATATTTTAATATATTGTTAAATCATGATTGTTTCTTTATATTTATATAATAAAAATTATTTTTTTTACCTTTAAAAATAAAATTTTATATTATAAAAAAAAAATAATTTATTTTAGATTATCAAAAGATAACTAAAACCAAAATAGAAAAATTCAAATAATATAAATACTACAATAACAACATTAAACAATATTTCCTCACTTTTAAAAATTTTTTTTTTTATTTTGTTTATTTTTTATAATAATCATTTTTATTTAATCAATCAACCAAAGTCATAATCTTTACATCTTTTTTTAAATCTCTAATAAATAATAAAAACACAAAATTATTTATAACTATTATTTGTTTTTATACACACAAACACACACATATAATAAACATATCTATAACATTTTATAACACACTCGACTTTTTTTTTTTTTGTAAAATTAAAAAAAAGGACCATTTTTTATTTCTTTAAAAAGAGAGAAAAAAAGTTATAAATTTACATTCTTATTAATTTTATTATAAATAAAACAAAAACAATCTAAATTATATTTATATTCGTTTTGTTTGTTTTAGTGCAATTATTTTGTATAAATCAATTTTTGTGTGATTTAATCAATAAAACAAAAAAAAAAATCACCATTTTTTAATGCTATATCTCTATTATATTACATTCATTTTTTTCTAATATATAAGAAAATATTAACATATATATATATATATAATTTTTAATATCACCTAATACTTTAAACCCACTTTCCACACACTCTATAAAAAAAACACACACTCACATTTATCACACACACAAATATCAAACACACCCACTTTTAATAATACATATACATTAAATATCACCTTCCTTCACCCCCCACCCAATCATTTTTTTTTATATTAATTAAAGTAATGGTATTTTGAATATAAAATAGTATTTTTAATTAATAAAAATAAAAAAACAAACGATTCATCCTTAATATATATTCTTTTGTTTTTTTTTTTTTTTATTTATTTAAATATATTAAGAAAAAAAAAAATAATAAAAATTTTATTTGTATTTATGCATACACTATAACTTGATTAGATGCAATTTAAAACAATATATTTAATATTTTTCATTTAAATTGTACATAATTATTTTTTAAAATATAACATTTATTTATTTATTTATTTTTTCTTTTTTTATTTTTTTTTTTTTAAAAAAGTAAAAGTTTGTTGTACACTATTCTATTTCTTTTTTTTGTTCATTTTACATAATATCATTTTATAATGTATTTTTAAAATAAGCAGTAGAGTAAAAAATAATATCCCAAATATCAAAATTTTGTTTTTTTTATTTTTCCATATATAATAATTAAAAAAGCAAAATTAGAACCTTTAAAAAAAAAGTATAGTTATACCATTATATATAAACATATTTAAATTTATTCGTATTCATCTCATAACATTTTTTGTATGTTGTTGTTGTTGTTGTTTATTTTTATTTTTTATTTTTTTTCTTTATTTTTTAGTGGTTCACAAATTTCTTTTATAAAATAATTAGCGTGGTTTGTTAATATATTATTTTATATATATTAATAAATTAAAATATATTTTATATCTTTATATCTTTGTTTAGTTTATAATATAAAAGTAAATAATAAATAACAGTTCATAAATATTTCTTGTTTTAATTTTATTTTATTTTTTTACTTTGTTTAAAATTTCAAAATTATTAATTATATTTTTTTTTTTATACTATCAAGAAATTCTATAATAAAAATATTGTATTTAACAAATAAATATTTATAATAGAAAAAAATGGATTATTATAAAATAGAAAGACAAGATCAAAAATCTAAAATTTATAAATTAATTTTACATCCAATACCAAGTATAATAATAGCATTTTTATTTATGGTTTTGGTAGTAATATGTCCATTAAAACAAGAAACAAGTTCATTGACAGTTAATAATTTGGTGTATCTTTTAGTTTATTTACCAGTTGTATCAGTTTTTTGTTTTGCAGTATTCTTCCCACTTTCATATACATTTTTAAACTTACCAAGAGTTCCATACAACTTAAAATCAACAATATTATTATTCTTTGTAGCATGGACAATGTTTTTATCGATTGTTCATTTGGTTTTCATGTGGATCGGTATTTTTCCAATTCCATTCGAGTGGCTTATCATTTCATTTGGAGTTGGTGTTCCATTAATTTATTTGTTGGTTTGGTTCAGTATTTCAAAGCATATCAAGGATGGAAAAGATACCAATGAGTCAACATTAGAAAGTGAACAATTAAATTTAACAACCAATGTAAATATAAACAGCTATACATTTAACGAAGATGACAAAATTAGAAGAATCGAAAGAGCAAGATCAAAATCAATCAGCAAAAGTGCAGATCATCATTTATACGACGGAGCAAATACAATTCCACAACCATTCAATGATGAAAAAGATCAAGAACAAAAAAATGAAATTGAATTAAAACAATTTACAAATAATATTAACGATACAAATAATATTAAAGAAATGAATAAAAATAACAATGTACAAAAAGAAATAGTTATCGAAATTGATCAACAAAAACAAGAAGAGGATCAAAAACAAGAACAACACCAGGAACAACCTGAAAATGTATTTAAATCAAATGATGAACCACAATCACAACCATTATCACAATCATTATCACAATCATTATCAATTTCACTACCAAGATCATTAAATAATAGATCATTAGACGAAACTTTAACACATTCATATTATTACGATACCCAATACCAGCAACCATTACCACCACTTCCAACCACTACAATTGTACAGCAGCAAAGAGTCAGTGAAATAAAATCTTCAAGTAACGAAAACCTATCAAGCAACAACACGAGTTCAGGTAACAATTGTAATGGAATGGATGAAGAAATCGAAATTGGCAAAAGTTGCAGTAGTGTTACTGGATCAAGATCTTCATGTGAAAGTCATTTCGATGCATCATTAGATGAAACCACATCAAGAAGTACTCCAAATAAATGCTCCTCTATTGACGTTCAAAAAATGGATAAGGATATATTGGCACCAGATGAATTTATATCGGCAACTACCCCAAGATACTATAACCATGCTACCAAAAAACCAATGTTTTCAAAAGGTTCATTCTTTTATAAATGGTGGGTTGTTTCATCTACAATGGTACTTGGCCCATTTGGTTATGTTTTCTTTCATCTCTTCCTTTTTGCTTTCTACAGTGTATCTGATAACTTTTTCCAAATCTTGCTTATTATCTCTTTCCAAGCTGTTATTTTAACCTACAAATTAATTTTCAGATTATCATTCCACAGAATGAGAAGTGTATTACCAAACATACCCCTCAGAGTGTTCCAAGATGGCAGAGTTTTGTTTTTATTTTGGTTAGAGCTTAGTTCACACTGTTTCTTCTCAATGGTATTCCCACATGTCGGCTCTTGGTACATGATTTTAATCTATTTAACATTAGAAGCATTTACTCTAACCCTCCAAATATTGGTAGATACCAAAACATTCAGAAACTATTGCATTAGAAAATGCGAAATACTCTATAAAATTGTGTATGGTAAAGTATATACTGGTACAAAACTATATTTAATTTTGGGCCAAGATGGGCCATTAGATCGTTCAGTTTCCTTGGAATTATTCTTTTTCAATACAGTTGCAAGAGCATTATCAGGTTGTGCCTATATTGTATTCTCCCTAGCTATATATTATGGTCCAAATCAAGATTTCTATCCAACCATCAAAGAATTAAAAGTAACCAGTTACTTTTTAACTTTACTTTATGCTGGTGCATCCTTAGGAACTGCTTTAGTTCATATGTATATATTTAAGAGAATATTAAAGAATATCTATAAAATCAATTTAATCAAAAGAGGAATTCAATTATGGGGTAGAAGACCTGACGTAGCTTTCTTTTTTATAACAAACTGTTTTATATTACCATTAGTAGTATTGTTACAACAAAATTCAGCAGTAAGTTATTTACTTACAAATACATATAAAATCGGAAATTAAAATACAACAGAAAAACAATTATAACAATAAAAATAATAACAATACAAATAATAATAATTATAAAATAAAAAAATAATTGTATATTAAAAAAAAACCTAAATAAATTTTAAATGAAAATAATAAATTGTTATTTTTAAAAACTTTTATTTACATTAGAAATTAAATATAGCATTTAAAATTATTATCATATTTAAAAATATAAAAAAAGCTTTTTATAAATCACTCACATAAAAACTATTTTTAAAAAAAATATGGATGTTTAAAATTTTCTAATTTTATAAAATTGTAATTCCCCCTTTTTTTTTTTTATAGTTTTTATTAATTTTAATTTTAAATATATATGAGATTTATATAAATTATGTATAATAAAAAAAAGAAATAAATAAATAGATAAATAATAATTTTTTATTTAAATAATATGTTTTTTATTTTATTAATTTTTATTAAACTATCAAAATTTATATTAAAAAAATTATTTAAAATTGCATTAAAGATATTTTTTAGAAAGTTTACTTTTTTTAATTTATTATTAAATAAAAAAGATAAAGATAAAGTAACCTATAATAAAAAAATTATAAATATAAAAAATAGTATTAAAATGGGTAAAACTTTTTTAACAAGTAATTTAAACAATGACAAAGTTGGTGATATTTACTTGGTGATGTATTCAAACTTGAAAGCCAATACTCCAAGACCCTCACTTTCATTATCATCTGGAAACATGTCTAAACTCCCATCCTCATTACTTATCAATGGCGCCTCTATAGATACATCATCTGTATCTTCCTTATGCTCGACCATTTCCCCTTTGTTGACACTTAACAATAGTCTTTCTTTGGGTGAAAATGGAAATGATATCAATTTTATTAATGGTATACATTACACTTTGGTTATTGATGTCGGTGGTGAATCTTTAACTAATGTGCCAGTGGGTTTAGAAATTCACATTACAGCTGAAAAAGGAACTAATCAAATTCACTAGATTTTGAAAGAAAGTTTAAACTAAATACAATTT